ATGTTTGTTAAACTTTATTGAGTACAAATTAATTCAACAAATATTCATCTAACATACAATTAAAGAGCTGTACTCAAACGGACAAGGCACAAACTGGACGTAAAGTCCATTGCATGGTGCCCCTCCTCTTCCTAACATAAACCTTTTAATTCGCAGTATACTGTATACAGGGTGTCCCAAAAAAAACAAAACCACTGAAACAACGCACTGCCAGAATCCGAACGCCTCAGCACCAACTGAACGCAAAGATACGTAAATCTGATGATCGACATGATGCATATAATATTCATCTCACTCGATTGAATAATAGTAGAAGGGTATTGTAGATGGAAATTATCCAGTGGAAATTTATATACATTTATTAGACCTTAATCAAGAATAGATGCGAAAAATAAAACTTTATAAATTTCCACTCGATAATATCCATCTACAATACCGTTCTAATAAAATACAATACAACACAATGGAAACTGTATTGTATTTTATTAGAATACTCAGTGGTTACCGAAAATATTAATATCGTTCTATTTATTCAATCGAATGAGATGTCAACAAATGTTGATATTTACACGTAACCTATACATGCATGGCGGTACCCTAGTATATATACATGAACTTGTGGTTAGAGCTCGACAACTGGCGTAATGTAGCTCAGTTGGTTAGAGCCAGGGACGCCGGAATCGCATGGCCGCAAGTTCGATTCCTGCCAGGGGAAAACTAAGGAATGTTCGGAGGTTTTTGCAAGGAATTCGCAAATTTGGTCCAAATACTTGTCAATTTTTGTGGCCACATGACTAAACTTAGCCCGCGTGCTAGACTAAACTTTTCTTCAAAATGTGAACAAATTTTGAAATAAATTTAAAATTTCAGGTTTAAAACATGGCAAATGATGAACTAATGATGGATTTTTAGAAACTAAAAAGAAATACACGCACCTTTTCACACGGCGAAGCGAGAATTATTGATTTTGACACGAAAGAACCAAGCAAGGCAAGCATAAAATTTGAATTTTTTTTTAAAACTGGGTTCCATATAAAAGGCCGAGCATTTGTATTTCAATTTTCCCTTCGACTTTCTACCCAATTGGAGATCAACAGGTGGTATTTCTAACGCCAATCTTGCATCCTGCGGTTGATCGAGGAAATATTGAAGTGCTGGGTAATGATATATTTTCTTTGATATTATAAATATTATAATATAGCATTTGTAAATTCTGAACGCTGATTGGCAAAGAGCCGTGTTGATATAACTCCATGTCAACACGGGGAATTTTCCGCCGCTTGTAACACGGAAATTGTTCTTATTCTTCGGGCTTTTGACATTGCTATATTATAAAAAAAATATAAAACATTTTTTCCGTATTGATATATAGTTATATCAACACTCGTGGAAGTTGGGAAAACTCGAAATTGTATGAAAACACTCCGCCCTTCGGGCGTCGTGTTTCCATACAATTTCTCGTTTTCCCAATTCCACTCGTGTTGATATAACTGTATATCAACACGGAAAATGTTTTATGTTTGTTAAGTGTAAACTTTTATAGCTCTTGACTCTTTGAGTGGCAGCACTCTCCCCTTGACGAGTAAAATCATTTGGCGTTAGACAGAGTAAAATAATAAAGTTGGGCGCATCAAGGTGCAATACAGTTTGACCCATTGAGCCTCAGCGATATCCCCTCGGCAAGGTTGAATTTAGTCATCTTTGGCATGAGTCCCAGGAGGGAATGCTGGGCGTGCCGCCTGGCACCGCCCACCATGGGAAAACCCTGTACATGTGAACTTGGCCAAACCAACGTCAGAAAATTTTCAGCCCGAGTTTTGTGAAATCAACTGTAACTAGTGGGAACTTGGAGACTGCATACCTTTCCCTGTGAATTAAATTATGTATCCTGCATAAATTATACAATGAGCTAATTATGTATTCAGTTTACTCTGGCCAACAAACAAGACAAACCTTTCCTATCCAATTTTCATCCAAATTGAACTAAAATTCGATCAATTTGTGCTTGGGCAATTTCATTAGTCTCACAAATTTTTGAATTTAATATGTTTTGATGGTTTTTGAGTTATCATGCTGAAAATATAACCTCCTGGCCGAGATATAATAATACGCTGATGAAAATATAACCTGCAAGAGGTTATAATCCATGTTGGAAATTAATGTCCGCCAGCAGCACCACTGGCAGGAAATTTTTACCAAATATCTTGACAGAAGATCTTACACCTTGCAGCAAATATTTGTCATCTTATATACTGTAATAATGTCATATAATTCACTTATTGTTTACAAAAGCATTTTGCAAATCGAGATTATTGTGCAGGAAGTTTTATATTTGGAATTTCTTGCCAGGAAGAAAAATATATTTTCTTATGCCTGGTTATAATAAAAATAATGGTTTAAAAGACCTTCATTATTTGTGGAAGGGGGATCCAGGGAGAAAATAAGGGGGGGGGGATATATGTATAAATAAATGACTAGAATGGGGGCTATTAAATTTTGATTGCAGAGATAAATTGACAATGTATTATTACATCAGCTATTTTGACATGTTTCCAATGTAGCTTTTTATATACCCTTGGGGTGACGTCATCTGCCAGCAAGATAGAAGAACAATTGATTTTCTAGGCCTGGACATGCATGTAATTTAAATTATGTTTACAAATAACGCATTTTGCAAGTCGTGATTGTCCTGTATATTTACAAACGCATTTTGCAAGTCGAGATTGTCCTGTCATAATTTTTAGATCTTTTATGTCATATATGAAATATCAAGAGGTTACCCCCCGCCCCCATGTCCTTCTCAGTTTTGAAAGAATTACAAAATTGGTGGGGATTGAGGAGTCAAGAAAAGTGGGGAGGAGTCGACAACCCCTCCCCCGTGGCTATGCCAGAGATTTGTGCAATTGCGTGTAAATGTATAAACCGTATAGATCTAGATCGCCTTAGTGGTGCCTTCTTTGGCATCAACCTGGTTCTGACAGTAGTGTTAGTATCACTGACATATTGTACATTGTGGAAAGCTACCCTATATATTAAATGTTCCTAATATAGACACAAAAACTGATTACACCCAGTGACGAACCTAGCTCAAAAGAAATGGCATGTAACTATTTCGAGCACCGAGGGCGTGAGCCATCTATGGAGGTCCGGGGGATTGGTCCCGCTGGGAAAAAAATACATGCATTGCATGCAAAAAGTCAGTAGTATGATTTTCGTAGCCGAGTTTGAGTAGCTACTATTTTGCCAACTTCAAAATTCCTTAACTCGAAACCACAGAATAGGAAAATAACAGAAGAGCAACTCAGCCAGGCAACGTGTCCCCTATAATTTTATGCAGTTTACTGGCCAGCATAATGACGGACCAGCCAGTTCAGTGTGTTTATTGGCCAGAAGATCAATTAACATGCAGTTTACTAGTGGCCAGAGCAATGGGGGACAACATGCGTAATGCGATAAGCGTGAGGACAAAACATCAAAGGTTCCGACGCGAGTTGCTCTTCTATTCATTTCCTATTCTATGCAGACCTGCCAAGGTTCCCGCATTTCGCGTGAAAGTTACGCATTCTGCTTTTGTTCCCGCTGTCCCGCACGCATAACTAAAATGATCTTAAAGTTACGCTTTTTTACCATTATATGACGCTATCCCACTTTCATGGCATGCAACCTTACCTGGAATAATATATTAGTACAATATAACTCATTGACAACGCTGTGTGCAAAAGTTTTGAAGACGTCTGAATCGTAAAACTATGAAATCTCACCCTCTTCTATTGATATGCCAATATCAAATCTGCCAAGTACCACGCATTTGGCCTGAAAGACACGCTTTTAAAATTTTGGTTCCGTCGGATACAGCACTTCAGCACATATTTTAGCCCAATCTCATCTATGAGCATGGACAATTGTGGACGAACCTTGGTCAAATCTTACATATTGTTATTAGCAATACCGTTAGAGAAGCCAAGCTGTGAGATGTCACACATTCTTATCTTCCGAACTTGGCAGGTCTGTCTATGCTCAAAACCGGCTTGAAAATTTTGCATTCTTAGTCCAACATAGCAATTTACTGTGCAATCAAGCTATCAAAGGCTATCAAGCAAAATCACAAGTTCCAACATATATAGTCTTGTTCACCAATGTCTAGGCTATACGAAAATGTCAGTTGGCAGCTTGTAACAAAAAATGCCACCAGAGTGCGACTTTCAGAGAGTTGGTCTGTCGTCTAATATACTGTACAGTGGAACCCCGTTAATACGGTCACCAACGGGCCGAAATAATATGGCCGTATTAACGGGGTGGCCGTATTAACGGGGTGGCCGTATTAACGGGGTGGCCGTATTAACGGGGTGGCCGTATTAACGGGGTGAGATCAAATTTCAATTGTGACGTCATAAAAGCTATGTTTATTCGAAAATCACAAGAACACCATACCCCACCATAATACCAATTAATAACTAAACCTTATAAAGTTCGGATAAAGTTTTCACCGATTTTATGGAAACAATGTTAGGGAATACAACGTCGCTAAAGAACCTTGTATTCTTTCTTTTCCTTTGCGCGACTGATAATAAAAATAAAAAATTAGTAATATGACGCAACTTGAATTGTGTGTTTTACTGCACAAGGTGTCTTAAATTATACTGCATTTCCGTCCGTAAACACATTTATTTTTTTGAGTGACCGTATTAACGGGGTGATTTCTTTAGTTCGGGACTCTACAATATGGCCGTTGGCCGTATTAACGGGGTGGCCGTATTAACCGGGAAACTTTATTATAAAATGTATTAGTGTTTCGCCGGGAGAAAAAAAAGTGATCGTATTATCGAGGTGACCCTATTAACGGGGTGGCCGTAAGGCGGGGTTGCACTGTACATCCTGATGAAGAACAAAGAAAACCGACTCAACCGACCCTATGTCAAACAATTCAATTTATTTAATTTTCTAGTATTATTACAAAGCATCTGTTGAAGGACAGGATAAAACCTCTGGGAAAAATTTAACTGATTTGCACTGGCTGAAATAAGTGGGCCCAATTATATCATGCATGATCTCTACCAGAATTCTGATGTTAATTGGTTATTATAAATTTATTAAGTTACTTAATCGTGTTTATTAGAACTTGTATTTACTCGACCCATCAGTGTTACTATACAGGGTGTATAAAAAAAAACTGAACAGATTTGAAAATGCTCTCAATTTCGCAAAACACCTATTTGTATCTGGTTTTTTATATATAGCTTCTTTGGGTAATTATAATGTAAAATATTGAAAAAAATTTCTCGATCTCAAATTTTGTGAATCAGGGGGGGGGGGTGTCTTTTCCAACAAACTAAAAATGGCTCGCGCACAAAATTTAAAAGCTGTAATCATATTTTGAGGTAACAGATTGAA